CCCTAGAAAATCTGCTACTTTCTGAAACTATGGGCTGGAAAACAACTGTTTTGATCGAGTATTTGAAGATGTTCTAGACATTGATGCTGGGCGAGACCACTACACCATCCTGCAGTGGGATTTTCAGGTATATAAGTGGATGATCGGAGGAATTTGTTGGTCCAACATTATTTTCTAAACACTGCAACTGATTGATAAATAATAACGTACTCTTTAATTTTTGCTGGATCACTATATGCATTTTTAAACTCAGAATCATTTCTTGAATCAGAGTACACATTTTTATTAATTGCCAAACTCAAAACTTTTCAGGTTTGACATTATTTAGCGCAGGAAACTTTAATTAAAAACAAAACAAAACCTTTCTCTAGTACGATGACGTCATAAGAATACCCAGGAATATCTAGTTAGGCTGACGTGTTGAGATAAAGGTATCCTTTTATTGTGATGGGTTGACTTCATGGAAGAGCATTTTTCAGTACGTTATGTACACGTTTGCTAAAATGTATCTCTGACATTATTTTATCGAATTTCGCGCCAAACTATACCAAAGCTATGTGTGCTTATGTCCTTAATTTTGAAATGATTGACTAGAGGGAAGGCAGTTGGTCAAAATCACCTACAGCCAACTCTTTTCAGATTGTATAGTGGGATTTGACCGTCACTCCATGGCTCCAAAGTGGGGAGCAAGTTTTGTGTGTGTGGTAATGAGGCGCGAACCTCAGATCCGCAAGTTTAACATTTAGTCATACTCATTCATCCTTTAAATTACCTGCTTAGTTTTATTTTTACGTTCATTATTTTAACACCCAGGCTGCGAACTAAGGACATAGAATTCTTGGAATCAGGTGGGCTACCAAAAGTTTCACGGTTTCCGGTATTCAAACTAGAATAATAAAAAAAAGTACTCCAATAAAGGGATCGATCTGTTGGCCTTAAAATAAATCACTGTCAAAAGAACTCACCTCTCAATAGTGTTTGGCCAGACTGTGTTCCTCTTGCACAACATAGTCAAAGTGTTCGTGTTCAAGCACTTACAGCGGTAACAAGCAAGCTTCCTCGGCCATCTCTATTTGTCAGAACTCGTGAAAGCAGCTTTATAGAACTAGTATTGCACAATACGCGAGGCCATTACCGTGTTTTGTGTGGGATTTTGGATGAGATTATGGGTTTTACTATACCATTGCTTCGAACCTAGGTCAAATTCTGTCCCTCTGGTAGGCAGTGAAGTATCCAGATATTGCAAAGAGTTCAAATCTCTATTCGGAAATTTAAAAAAATCCCCTAAAACTTTGTTTGGGAATAAAATATTCATGTCTCACAGACTGTTTAAAAAAGCGTGAGAGTGAATTGAATTTTTGGTTTATTTTTAAACGATGTAATGTGATCATGTTATCGTAGTTAAAAATGTCTTCGTAAAGCATATTTGTTGACTACAATGGGCTGTTGGAGCACTTATTGACATGTAAACTAAAGCTACATCAAGATTCGGGTATGGTAGTCTATAATTTTGAACCACAAGAAAGGAATACAGCCGGCAGTATTCGTCTCCAAAGAGCTTCGTTCAACTCTTTGAATTGACGAAAGATAATGACCGTTACTTTTATATATCATTCATAGCTATAAGTGTGAAGCGCGTTCAGTGGCATCACGTCTTGAATTTCCGACTTTTCGATCCACTCGAGTCATTAACGACTAGATCACGTATTGGCCATGACGTCATAGAAGTCTATTTCAGATAAATTTAACACTCTTTCGCCGATATCACTAAAATTCGGTCAGAAACCTAATCATTACCAATTTTCTTTTCTTGTTTAGTCATTACATTTGAAATGTTAGGTAATTAGATATCGCCAGACAGTGATTTTCATTTATATGTTTTTTAATTCTGCAGGTTTTTCAAGGGCTATCCGCACTAGGCATCTGTAATTTTGATGTTTATTTCAGGCTATAAATTCTTTCATCTGTTCCCTTGAATACAAGGTCAAACTGTTAACCTCACACCTCATATTATGTTAGAAAACAGGTGAGTTGTTATACATGGAAGAAGTACGATCCTGGGAACATATGAGTGAAAACAAAGAAAAATATGTAATATATGCCAACCACTCTATATTTGTTATATTTAGTGCTGACGAGGCCTTTTGCTCAATGTTCTATAACCATTTGCCAAAGACACTCTGTAGTGGACTCAATATAGCCTTTCAAACAGAGAAGACATCTATGGTGTATCTAAGGGTAAACCTTATTTTAAACAAGTTAACAATTTTAGACCTTAATAACAACGATTTACTACCCAGACATGAAAGAGTAATGTTATCAACTATATGAGTATTGTTAATATTATTTAGTTTCTTTCATAATAAGAAAATCCTTCTTTTCAACGAATTTATTAATGTTTGATAACTCATGTTCAACTTAAGTTACTACAAATTTTATGTACTTAAGTTGTTAAAAGCTTGAGAAGGTTATGTTTAAAATAATGTTATAACACTTTTATAACTATAATAAACTATAAATATAATACATAAAGATGTGTTTGTGAAAGACACTAACATCAGAACCTGGAGATACTTTTCGTGAAATAATACAAAAGTGCCATCAACGTATCTTTTGTAACACAAAGGTTTGAACTTTGAATTCATTTGTACAACTGGCCAATCATTGCCTTTTACAGTGAAATAGTAATAAGTATGCTAGTGTTAGGACAAGGCAAGAGCCCACTGCCCTACCATCTACCTGATCCTAAATATCATTAACAAAAACCCTTGTACTTAATTCTAATATTTTTCTGAATATACATGTTCGGGAATACGTAGAAGACAATAATCTTAATATCAACACTGGTGGGATCTGTAGACCATGCTGGTCAGGTGAGTTGGAAATGTTTGCTGATCATTCAACATCTGAAACCTTGTATGTATTGCAGGGTGGAGCCCCATCTTGCATGAAGACTTTCATTCAAAACTCTTCTTGTTTAGTGTAGGTATGATATGTTCCAAGTTACATGATCCTTTTCTGTTGAAATTTAATTATAAGATTTCCATAATTCTCATTTCTACGTGGCCATCTTCCATGTCGATATTACCTTAATGTTGCACTACTGTGTGTGTGTCATTTCACATAAGGCTTGGGAAGGGGGGAGGGAGGCAAAGACGACTCACCTTGCACAAATCCTCATTTTAGCTATGACGTAATTTGTTTAAATGTGTTAATTCATTCCGACTAGAAATGTCTCGCAGAAGCTGCCATTTGAGATACTCTTCTGAATTGAGGGGGATGACTGCTCATGGTTACACCAACTATGCTGTAGTAATGGTTTATGGGCACAATTCTTCAGAGGTAAACTGCCAGGAGTAATTTGAAATGGAAAAATAAACCTCAACATGTTTGATGTAGTTTTTATACAGTCACTGTTATTCAAATTGTACTACAGCTCCCTCC